ATAAAAAAAGGAAAAAAAGCTTCAATCCCCCCAAGCGAAAGGGAGAGCTCTGAAATTCCTTCATATTGCTGTTATTTACCCCCGAAGATATGTTCAACTCCAGGATTTTCTTCAATTCGGCGTCTAACACTGCTGCTGCGAGGAATGTCCCTGGAAGGGGAGGAGGTAATTATGGCTATTAGTGCTGCGAGCCCAGCCGCAACCTTGGTCACTCGCAGGCTTTTAGGGTTAAAATAGCCCTCACCTCTGACCCCTGCGGAGCAAAGTTGTAGCTATTGCCACAAGTTGGGCCAAAGTTTTCAAATCCAGGGCTGGGCAACACCGGAGGGGGCAAACTTCTCCCTGGAATTATTTTTGGTTGGGATTTAAATCATCTTTAGTCTATTTAATTGCCTTTCCCTCCTCCTTTGGCCAAATAATCCCTTTCGGAGAGGTGGGGGGGATTTCAAAACGCCCTGCTCTCACTACCTTTCCCACTGCTCTTTCCATTTAGGTTTAATTTGGCAGATTGTTTTCAAGCATGAAAATGGTTATCATCAAACTGAATTACTGGGTCAGCCTTTCATCCAGAGATCTCAAGAATAAAAGGGGGGGTCGGGCAGGGGTGTCCCCCCCCTTTAGGCTTTCCCCGCCATGACCCGTTCAGCTTTACAAAAAAAAATATAAAAAGGAGCATTTGGAAAAATGAAGAAAGGACAAAAAGCTTGGATTTGTCTCCTGTGCTTTCTGCACACCTTCACGATCCTCCCCTGCAAGGGGGGATTTTGGAAGGGGGGGCGAGGGGGTGCTCAAATTGAGGAGGGGAGGGAGCCCACAGATGCAAGTACCCCTCTGGCAATAATAAAAATTCATTCAAGTGGGCTATGTCTCCATCTTCCATGTACTGATTAGACTTAACAAGAGTGGAAACTTGTGTAGACCATATTTATGGTATTAACAAGCAGTTAAAAGATTTATCCTTCTTCTGATCAATATTGTTCGTGGCCGGTCCTTCCCCCCCACCCCCCGGGCCCTCCCCGAAGGCTGCAATGACAATCGCCTTCATACTTTTTCATCACCGATCGAGGTGGCAAAACCCTTTTGTAATTTTCATTAGCCCAGTAAACATGCAATTAACATGCAGCACTGTGGTTAACTTAATTCCTGTTTTAAGGCAAGGACAAGCAAGAAATGGAAGAGCGTTTGTTCCATTTGTCAAGTATGACACACTCCCTACCCTAACAGTTTCTTAAAATAAAAGCTCGGCTCCCCACCACCACGACCACCACCCCTCTTTCCAGAAACCCCCCACACTGATACACACACACACACAAAAAGGAGCAGGAATCCATTAGTTGGAGAGTATTCTCCTGCCAAAGGCGGTATAATGTATTCCAAATTTTCCCAAGCCCTCACTGTACCGGGGTCCCGTTCCCCCCACTCCCCCCTCCCATCCTGGGGAAGGGGGCTGACTCGCTGATATTTCTCGTGGGTGAAAGATTCAGCCTTTTCCTAACCGTATTTTTTTTAATTTAAATAAAATAAAACTAAACGTGCTTCCCATGACTAAAAGTTGCCATGTTTGTGAAGGGGGTGGGGAAAAATGTCTCCAAGGGTTTCAATTAGCAACAAATGATTATTGCAACGGATTTTTGGTAATGAAAAAATGTGGAGTACCTCTTTCGAGCTGGGATCTCAGGGGCAGTGAGAGAGAGAGAGAGAGAGAGAGGGGGAGAGGGAGAGAAGGAGAGAGAGAGAAAGAGATTGCTGATTAGCTCGGATTCTTTCCCAACTTGCTTTAGCGTGTGCTTGCGTTCCCTGCCGACCCTACACAGGACACTATATATTTTTTCCCCTTCGGTGCATGTGTTGATAGTCCAGCCTGTAGTTGTTTGCGGTTGGCTTTTTCTTTTCCTTTTCGTTTTTTTTTTTTTTTT